AGACTTCTCCGCTTGATGTAGTTGCCCTTGACATCCGTACAGAGCATGCTGAGCAGCTTTTCTCGAGAGTTACAAGAGCTTCGGTGAGGATGAGCTGATCCGCATTTCGCCCTCATCGCAAAGGGCAGAGAAGCGATCAAACACTCGCCGGAGGCTAACATGTAAGGAAACTAGCCTAACGAGGTCTTCTGTAAATAACAGATGATTCAGTTGATCTTCATCGACTGTGACGCTCTCCTTGTCTTCTGAGTACAAAAAAATTATTAACATACTTTACAAAAAATCCATTTGTTCAGGCGTGTTCTGAAAAGGTGAGAGAATAATGTTAAACGTTTTCAAAATGTTTCATTATTTTTGACCTAATCAGTGCGTGATAGCGCAGAGAAACTGTACGCATAGGTTATTGCGCTTCGCAGTTTGAAATTTATATTAGCTGTATGCATAACTTCATATCCACAATTATTGCTTGTCATGTTATTTAAATTAAATTTGTTGCTGCAGCGTGTCAGAATGTTGCCGCGGCATTTCAACTGCTGCGGAATATTCAAGCGCCAAACCTGCTTAGTCAAGCAAGCTGTGATTGGCTGGTACAATATCCCAGAAGTTCCTGGCTGGAAATACGGGAATTCTAGTGATGGCGGAGAAATGGCTTCCGGTTCAGGTTGATTGGCTATTCGAGAATCGGAAGTCAACCAGGTGTCCGCCGGAGGTCTGCCTTACATAAGGGCTGCTTAGCGCCAGCAATTGAGTTTGATACTGAAAATTTTGTTTAACCGCCCAAACAAACTGTTTGCACGTCTCGCGTCATGAAACAACGAACATCACTGCACAGACACAAATGGCCATCAGGCCCGACATCCGCCAATTCTAGTCACAAGCAGCAATAACGTAGAAGAAACGACAGATTTGTACGGATCCTCGACCGTGTGCGATCATCATGCATCGATGTACTTTGCTACGATCGCAACGTCATTCTGCACTACAGCTATTGACAGTATGTCTGATCAGCTCACTCATTGAGATTTTCTGCAGTAGTCTATGCTTATGTGCGTACTCTTCGAGGAAACTATGTTTAGTTCAGAAGAACTTATCCTCCTTTAACAACTTTCTTGGCATGAAGAAGCTTCGAGTAATCATCTGAATATAATCATTAAATAACATGTTCTTATTTCGCTTCTAAATTAACCGAGATCGATCGACGAATTAGACTGCCATCTGCGTTCAGCGTGAACCAACTCAAGGCTGAGTCTGAGGACTAAGCCGTCTGTTTTCACGTCGATTTTTATCCCCGTGCAGTTGTTATTAATTTATTTTGCGCAGTGCATAATACCCAATAGATTTACATGTTGTATATGGTCTAGTTCTTTTTCGAAGTCTAAGAAGTCGATTTGCCGTTATACACTGTATTTCGATATGCAGAGCTGTCCAAAGGACCTTAAGATTTGCAAATCAAAATTTTGCAATTATTCCTTCCCGAAAGTTCATTATAGTGCTCGCTTTCATACATTTTCGTCGACTGCGTTCTGATTTCACTTAGAGTGACTTCGAAGAAATGAACGGTTTCGTCTGCGTAATCAACGCAAACTGATTACTCAAGTTTTTAAAATAAGTTCATCTGACGACCGTTAGACAGCCAGTAAAATTTTTCAAACGCATTCTAGTATCATTATGTTCATATAAAACATGATAAATATATGAATTGACAAAATCAAATACGCCGTCTTTTTATTACTGAATCATTACGCTTTGAAAACATGTATAGTATATACAGCACTGTTACCATATTGATATTTTCAGCAAACAAGTCAGTCAAGTGACATCGTATTCTTCTTTGATCAATCCCGTCTTGCATGTGACCGATGCGCCTACTGCAGAATGTACCAATCCTGGCCTAATCAGAACTAGAGTCGTCAGTCAAGACTATGTGAAAACATGTGGCAGTGAGGTTAGCATTGAATAAGTGGATGTGACTATTCCGGCTCTTGTTTTCGTTTACACCAGTGCCAGCTTTGGTTCCTGAGAAGCTTTGACTCTCGAATCAAAGGTTCAAAGCTAAAAATGACAGATGTTAGAATAGTAAATTGGAAGCATCACCGTTAGTCACATAACGTCAAAATTTAAAAGCTATAATTATAATTTATGATCATACTTTAGAGGCCTTGATAGGATATGAAAGGTCACTTAAAAACAATGATTGGAAAAAGAACTAAAACGTAACACAACATAGCATTTTAAATACCACTACCGCAGCTTTGAATTGGCAAAAGCACTAGAGCACAAGCACAAGAATAAATAGATCGTTTCAGTCATAAAATATAATGAACCATGTTATTTGTTTCTTAGGTTAGTTTCGAAAAAATGGACTTCATTTGCCATTAAAATAGCTGCAAGTTTCTACAAACCAGTTCATTCGTTTCTCTCTTACAGTGTAACAACTTCAATCGATACAATTCAAGTATAGTTTGTTTGCTCTTTATTGAGATCATCATCTCGAACTGTTTGCATAAGCAGAACGCTTCTGGTCCGCCGCGTCAGCAGCTTTTCAAAACGTTTTCTATAAGGCATCAGTTACTCGGTCGCAGAAGGAAATATTCCTCGCCGAATGCAGATCTGTCTTTAACTTGTTTATTCCTGTTACGTGTTAGCCTCAATTCCTCGCCGATGTTCGTTGTGTTTCAGCTCCCACACGAACAGCTAATGTTCTGCAGTACATGTTTTATGTGAAACTAGATAGACTAACAGGGCCAACTCATTCCTTAGTCTCCCCATGTACTGAGGTCACTTGCGCCAGGAACAGCATACAGTAATTTCGCCGACTTTTTAACCTTCATTACAAACGAAGCCATCGTTGCAGAACGCAGCTCAACCATTTCATAGATCTTCGCTAGACCAACTGCAGCCATGCCGTACAACAACGCTGACTTGACGAGGTGACATAGAAGCGGATTTTCATCAGAAGAATAACTTCCTTCTCATCCAAGTTAATAGACAGGTTTCCAAAGGCAATCGAGGCTAAAACGATCCCTGCGTTTCACTACGGCCGGATGATGTCATGGCAGCAGATCAGGACCCGGGACACTTAAATTGGTAAGCCCTCGAAAGCGCTTAACGTCCCTGTTCCACCTGTAGATCAGCTGTGCTGAATGAGTTTCTCACACCTTTGAAGTGGCAGAATCGGTCTTGAAAGAATAAAGTTATCATCGTGTGGATACACTAAATATTACTGACACAGACAGAAGACTAAATGTCGCTGGTATGCATAATTCACTAATTTTTAAGTCATTGATATCCTGAATCAGATCTGCTATGGAAAACTAAAACATTCATTGATGCATGAACATTTTTCACACTCAAGTATTACAATATCAAATCTCTCCAAAAAAACTAAGGTAGTATTGAGTAAACAAACTGATTATGAATCGCCACTACAGCACGTTAGATAAGGCTCCATGTAACGATGCAAACAATGCAGACTTACATTCAGAAACTGGAACATCTCCTCACATAGAGAGAAATAGCAGGAGTCAGCTGTTAAAGCTACAAGGCATCAACTCGATATTGTAGGACCAACGTCAACGCAGCGCCAAGCTCCGGAATTCTGAGTCTCTACGGGTGGACGATACTCGACTCAGGTACCGACAGCATGACGCGCACTCAGGCCTGTGTTGGTGCTCTCATAGAATCTAACCTGGCTGATAAAATGATTGAATTGAAGCCTTTCAGAGGAGCAGTGACAATCCTCTGACTGAAGCTAGAGCAGGCTAAAGCTTTGAACTTGTTGCAGGTCTATTCGATTGGCTCAGATGGAGAATATGAGGCTTGGTGGTGCTTTGTATGAAGTGAAACTAAGGAATTCATCACTCTAATGAACGATTTCAATGTTAACGTCGGAGCAGACACTGCAAGGTGGAATGGTATGAATGGAAAGAAGGAACTAATAACCTCAAAAATAATAGCATGGAGTTGCTGCGGTTTTGTGCAAACAATGAACAGCCTTTAATGCAAATTCATTTAGAGCATCGAAGCGCGTAACA